TTGACCCCCCGTGTTGAGACAGCAGGTTCGGTGCGGAACAAATGCTGCGGCTTTTTCATTGAAACTGTTCACGTTCTGCTCTTCATGCTTGGAAAGTTTTCCATTTCTTCGTGTTTGCCGTCATGCTGTGTTTGTTTATTTGAATGTACAGAATAATGCTGGTTGCAGGAATGCTATATGACCTTTAGCAAGACGCTGATACATCAGGAAGTAGACTGAAAGCGCTCCAGTTTCTCAGGTTCATTGCATGTCTCGTTTGATGCAAGTTGCATAAAATTGGCGTTTCCTGCATGTCAGAAATAAAACTCTGCATGAGTGTATAGTGAAGGGTTTGTTGGTGTCCACTGTAAGTGAAAAGAGGACTTTTAGAGCTCACTGTGACTTCTGCATGGCGACAGCCTTTTTTTTTTTAGTTTTGAGTTCCCCTTTGAGGCACACTGAGCTATTTAAATTCTATTTGCTAATTCTCATTCATGTCCTATTACTTTAAGAGATACTTGAGCTCTGCATGTCATTTTAAATTGGTCCTTTAGAGGGCAGTAATCACCTAGAAATGCTCCCAGCAGCACAGCGATCTCAGTGTGGGCACAGGCACACTCTGTCCCTCACTTTGTCTCTGTGTTAGCACAGATTTAACTCAAAGCACAAACTTTAGGTTGGTTTCTTAACACAGCGCTGACGTTTGTGCTCTAAAGTCAGAATTATATTCGCCTGATTTCTTTTCGCTCTTGCAAAGGTCAGGCAGCTTCCAATTTAGTTTAGAGTCAGTGTGATCAAAAATCCTGTGAGGCACTTGTGTGAGAATGCCGAGTCGGGTGTTGCTGGCTCATGCAGGTGGGAATATTGAGGAAAGCACATGTAAACAGGTGGAAACAGGAGATTTTTTAATATTTTGGCAGTGAGGAAAATGAGTGGCTGGATGAAGCAGGTCCCTGCATGCTTGTTATGCCCTTACCCTCGTGCTTTCATGAGGACAGATCAAATTACACCTGAAATTAAAGTGAACCTGCAGTGACTAGTCAGTCCACAGAAATCAATTTGGACTTCCTTTTTTTTTAATTTTTTAAATGTTTCCAGCTTCTCAAATGTCAGGCTTCCACTTTTCTCTTTCAGGTGTGCGATAGAAAACTGTACCCTGACTTTTTCACTTTTTTATGACATTTGGTAACCAAAGCAAATCCTCGATTAAACAAGAAGTCAATGGGCAGATTAATCCATAATGAGAATACTGTTAATTAAAGGCCTAAATTAAATGTCAACACGTAAAGGTCAACCCTTTTACTTTTACACTTAAACTGGCAAAACTCACATTTCTGCCTGCTCACATGCACATACTGCACATTTAAAGTGTCTAATATCAGAAAGAAGCTCCTGCACCTGAACGTGTGTCATGTCACAGCAGTACAGTGTGGGCTGCCACGTTTTCTGTGGCTTTGGCTCTGTGCTCCAGCACACTGGAGGTTGAAGTGCTGACTTTCAGCTTCGAGTGCAGCGCAGAAGGATAATGACAGGGCTACAGTTCTGTGCTGTTCAACACCCAAGCTGGAAGTAAACATCCTCCAATAAAAGCTGAAAGTCAGCACATCAGTCACACAGAAGACTGTCACTGTAAAAATATGCACAGGCTGCGATGTTTTTACACGTAATCAAACACTGTGCTGTGTGCACGGCCGCTGTGCGCTCTGATGTATGCAGTGTTTCACCAAAGTATCGTACACTGGTTTAAATTTGCTCCTTTGTTTTTGGGTATGATTACATCACCGTTAAAGCAGGCTCGGTCTGCCTAGTTTTATTTTCTGCTGCATACAGTCATGTGAAAGTGAAGTAAATGTTTACTCCCTCCATAGGATTGTAAAGGCAAGTAGCAGCCAGGTGCTGCTAATCAGATGTGCTTGGTTAATCATCAGCACCTGCTATAAAAGCAGATGTTTCACCAGTTTGCTGGTCTGAAGCACTCTGATGCGTGTTAATACATAGCTGCACTCTTGGCAGGAGTGGACGTCCCAGCAAATGAACCCAAGGTCAGACCCAAGGTCAGAGAAGCTGCAGAAAACCCCAGAGCTCCATCCCAGACTCTACAAGCCTCAGTTGGCATGTCGAATTTTCAGGTTCATTGCAGCACAGCAAGTATGGCTTGTTTAGAAGGGTTCCCAGGAGAAAGCCTCTTTTCTCTAAACATGGCAGCACGGCTCAGGTTTGCAGACACGACTCGTGCAAACTTCCAATCACAGTTTTCAGAGGAGTGATGGTTTGGGCTTGTTTTGCATCCCCTGGACCTGAGCACCTTCCAGTCACTGAGTCAAACATGAACTCCTCAGTGTACCAAAGTATACGCTACATGTCAGTCGAGCCATACTTCAGTTATTCCTGCTTCCACAGCCTTCTGAATCAAAGGGTGCACGTAGTTTTTTCACATGACTTAATAAAGTCCAGGGAAAACCTTTATTTACATGACAATACATTGTATTCATGTTAAACATGGTCAATGTTTCAAATAATGTGGTCAGTATGAAGGAAATGTTACGTTTGAGCCACGTAGGCTCTCAGGTTCTGGCAGTTTTGTCTTTTCTAACCCTTGACTTGATTGAAAGTCGGCATCTGTTCATCTCATCCCCCAGAAGATCCAACCACTTGAACATTTTGGGGTATCAAATGAAGAGAAAGTTGCATTAGGGTAGTGCAAAGGGAGATAAACATCTACCTGCACAAAGGCCTAGTAAAAAAATAAAAAGGAATTTAATTTGAACTTTAAATTCTGAGAAAATACTTTCATGGAGTCCAAGAATAAAACTATGAATCTACAAATGGGCACAATGGGTCCCCTCTAACTCACCAGGCCGTCGGCTGTTAGAGGAAATCCGTGCAGTTAGGAGTTGGAATACATAATTGGAATTGAGTATAGAGGTCTGAACGTTATACAGTAACACTGACAGTAATACCATCGCTGCTATCATCTGTTGGCATTACAGAAGGACTTGAAGGGAAACAGCAGAGTGCAAAGATGCCCATTATCATGCCTGAAACTCTTATTAGTATTCATTCGTCAAACCGTTCAACACGAGTATGAAAACATAGTGCCCACTACATACTGTAGTTTATTAGGATCCCTGTTAGATGTGCTGCAGAGCCCTGCTGGTCGTTCCGGGGTCTGCCCATAATATTACCATAACTGTGCTGGTGGTAATAAACAGCTGGAAATGTAATGTACTTATCTCATCTGTTTATGGGGAAGAAATGGTTTGACTGAAAACCTTCTGATATTCTGCTGTAAGCTTATAATCATTTATTAGGTTCCTAAATGCTCTTATTTCTAGTAGCGTTAGCAGCCTATAAGTACTTTTCTGTTCTCATTTCTCATGTAACTAGTTGCACAAATCATTACCCAGCAATATAACTACCCTTTTATATGCTAGGTGACCCGCATACTGTCAACACCTGGGTGTTAGCAACCATAGCGTAGCTTAGCCTAGTTTAGCATAAAGTCAGAAGACAGGGGAAGCAATTTTCTAGACTCTGACCTAATGTGTCAAAACCTGCCTCTCAGCATCTGTAAAGTTAAAGAATTTGTTAAAAAAAAGATGTTTAAATAAGTTTGGTAGGAAAAGGAAACAAAAATACTCTGAAAGCTGCTTTAATGTGAATTTACAGTTACCCTGTTGCTTTCTCAAAAGCTCCAAACTGGGAAGCGATACCTTTCTACAAGTTTAAGTTTCTCGGGGCAAGGCCACATTCATTTCCATGTAGCACACAATAAACCAAAGCTCCATAAATATTTTATGATAAACTCAGTTTGTTCTCTCCTTGAATTACAGTTGCTGCAATATTAATATGTGCAATTAATCCAGCCCACATGTTGCAGTTGTTGTAGTTACAGGAGAAACCAGTTTGTAGCTTGAGCCAAATTAACCTAAAAATGAAGTGTGTGTGTGTGTGTGTGTGTGTGTGTGTGTGTGTGTGTGTGTGTGT